GGAGGCTTAGCAGTCTTGCCCCGGGTGGTCCGGTGGGGGAGGCTTAGCAGTCATCCCCCGAGGACTCCGGGGGCAGGCTTAATAGTGGTTCCAGGGGAGGCTTAATAGTCTTCCCCCGGGCAGTCCGGGAGAGGCTTAATCGTCATCCCCCGACAGTGTGTGTGTGTGTGTGTGGGGGGGAGGCTTAGCAGTCTTCCCCCAGGCTGGGTGGGGGCCTGGCGGGAGGCGTCGCAGTCTTCCCCCGGGCGGTCCGGTGGGGGAGGCTTAGCAGTCGTCCTCAGGGCGGTCCGGGGGAAGTACTTCAGTACCAGGCAAATTGGTTGAAACTATAGTAAAGAACAAAATGATCAAACACATAGATGAACAATTTGTTGGGGGAAGAGTCAACATTTTTTTTAAAAAGGAAAATCATGCCTCACCAATCTATTAGAATTCCTGAGGGTGTCAAAAACATGTGGACAAGATTGATCCAGTGGGTATAGTATACTTAGAGAAAGCCTTTGACAAGGTTCATCACCAAAGGTTCTTAAGCAAAGTAAGCAGTCATGGGATAAGAGGAAAGTAACTGCTTAAAAGACAGGAAACAAAGAATAGGAATAAATGGTCAGTTTTCACAAGAGGTAAATAGCAAGAATCTTTACTGCTACCTATGCTGTTCAACATAATCATAAATGGTCTGGAAAAGGGGTTGAGCAATGAGGTGAAAAATTTGAAGATGATACAAAATTATTGAAGATAGTTAAGTCCAAAATAGACTGTGAAGAGTTACAAAAGGATCTCACAAAAGTGAGTGACTAGGCAACACAATGGCAGATTAAATTCAATGTTGATAAGTGCAAAGTAATGCACATTGGAAAATATAATCCCATCTATACATACAAATTATGGAATCAAACAGCTGTAACCATGCAAGAAAGAGATCTTGGAGTCATAGAGCATATGTTTTCAGAGAACTAGCCACAATGTGCATTGGCACGTTAGAAACCATTAGGAAAGGGATAGATAATAAAACAGAAAACATCATAATGCCACTATATAAATCCATGGTTCATCTACACCTTGAAAACTGTGTTCAGTTCTGGTTGTCCCTTCTCAAAAATAATATTAGAATTGTAAAAAGATGCACAGAAGGGCAATGAAGATGATAAGGGGTATTGAGCAGCTTCCATGTGAGGAGAAATTAAGACTGGGACTGTTCAGCCTAGATAAAAGATATAAAAGGAGTATATGATAGAGGTCTGTAAAATCATGAATGATGCAGAGAAAGTGAATAGGGAAGTGTTATTTACCCCTTCACAGAACCTAAGACTGAGGGGTCACCTGATGAAATTAATAGGTAGTATATTTAACACAAACAAAAGGAAGAAATTTTTCACACAATGCAGTCAACTTGCGAACTTGTTGCCAAGAGATGTTGTGACAGCCACAAATATAACTGGCTTCAAAAAAGAATTAGATAAGTTCATGAAGGATAGGTCCATCAATGGCTGTTAGACAAGATAGTCAGGAACGCAACCCTATGCTTTGGGTGTCCTTAACCCTCCAACTGCCAGAGGCTTGGCCTGGAGAATGGGATGGATCACTTGAAATTGCCCTGTTCTGTCCATTCCCTCTGAAGTTTCTGGCACTGGCTGCTGTCAGGGATGGGGTATTGGGCTAGTTGGACCATTGGTCTGAGCCAGTATGGTTGTTCTTATGAGCTGTGGTGAGCACATTATCACTGACTCTTAATGATGAAAAGAGGTTGTTGATGAGCCATGCAAGACACTTCCCTGCACTTCCCTCTCCTTGGCCCAAGGAATTGAGTTTGCTGTATGCACAGAACTTGTACGCCCTTCCAGTGAATAAGAAAGCAGTCCTGGAAAGTTTATTTTTTTCTTACATGGCAGTGCAGGGTAATATCATTAGGTCACAATACTAGACACTTGTTTTATTTTTAATGCATTTTACAGTACACTCCATAAGAAAGGTGAAGCAGAACTGTACTCAATATGTTTGGGAATACTTTAAGAAGAAGGTGATTAATAGTGTCAGTCTTCTGTAGAAGTTTCACATTTCTTGTAACAGATTAGAGGCCTGTGAAAGTCTATAGATATTAGTTTTAAAATATATTTACCCGGAAGACTAGAACTGATTTTTACAGCCTCCTTGTTTATTTGTCAAATACGTATCTGTAAACGTTTTCGAAGAAGCACTATAATGTTAGCAATTTTGGGATCAGATAGAGTTGAACAACATGGGCATCCAATTAATGCAGTTCAGAGATAGTGCTACATCACAGGCACAAGCCATACAGGCTTCCCAATACGATGTTGAGACACTACTAGTACAATTCACATATGGCACTAACTAGGGTGACCATACTTCCCTCTGCTGAATATGGGATGCCTGGTAAAATTACTCGTATTCAAGCGAGTTCAATGGCAATCAATCAGAACTATGCAGTACAAATATTCAAATTAACATCAAGTTGACTGAGCCCCATTAAACAGAAATACTACGTAGTTGGATTATTTTTATTTACCTTCTTATCTTTAAGGCTTTAGGGTTCACACAGGGAGGGGTGACACACACACTGCTACCCCCCCCAACACACACATGGGGAGATGTGACACACCCACCCACCCGTATCCCACTCTCACACGCGGAGGGGGGTTGGGTGACCGACTGACTGATCCTCCTTGTCCCATGCTCTCCGCCCTCCATGCCTTCAGCAGCCACAGAGCCTGGCCAGGGAGGTGGCTCAGCAGGGGAGGGTGCCTAAGGGATGGAGCAGCCCTGAGCTCCCTGGGGACAGGACCCAGAGTGGTGGGGGTGGGGACGGGCAAAGAGGGTGCTAAGCCCCTGCCCAGAGGGTGCTGTGGAGCCTACAGGTTCGGGGTGGGAACAGGCTGGAAATCACTTCTCCCCCCACCACTCAGAGCTTAGCGTGAGGCTTTGGCACATGCAGTGCTTGGCTCCTCCAGGCCAGCAACCCGGGCCGAACGGTCTTGGGCTTTCCCAGGGTGCCACCCCAGGCAGAGGCAGTGGAGGAAGGAAGGAACCAAGGCTGCTGGTGAGCTGAGTGCTCCGACCAGGGGCTGGTTCTCTGCTCAGCGCTGGGAGCAGGACGCTGTGGGGATATGGAGGAGCAGCGGGGCTGAGGAGGGGAAGAAGGGACAAAGCCAGAGGGGGAGCACATAAGGGGCCAATGGGTGGGCAGCAGAGGTGACACCTAACCAGCTGCTGCCTGGCACTCATCGGATGCCGCAGCTCGCAGTGTGCAGCCAGTGCCAGCTAGAAAGGGGATGGGGGGGGGCAGGGCCCTGCTGCCTGAGAGCTAGGGTTGCCAGGCTTCCGGTTTTCAACTGCAACGCACAGTCAAAAAGGGACCCTAATGGCTACAGTCAGCACTGCTGACCAGGTTGCTAAAAGACCAGTCGGCAGCGCAGTGGGGCAAAAGCAGGCTCCCATCCCTACTCAGCTCCACGCAGCTCCCAGAAGCGGCAACATGTCCCTCTGGCTGGGGGGGCAGCCATGGGGACTCCACATGTTGCCCCCCTCCTTGAGTGCCGGCTCCTCAGTTCCCATTGGCCAGGAACTGCGGCCAATGGGAGCTGCAGGGGTTGTGCTTGTGGGTGTGAGCAGCGTGCAGAACCACCTGGCCCCTTCCGCCTAGGAGCCGAACATGCCGGCCACTTCTGGGAGCTGCCCGAGGTAAGCACCAACTGGCCGGAGCTGGCACCCCACATCCCCTCCCGCACCCCAACCCTCTGCCTCAGCCCTGAGCTCCCTCCCACACCCAAACTCCCTCCCAGAGCCTGCACCCCAACTCCCTGCCCCAGATCAGAACCCCCTCCCACACCCAAACTCCCTCCCAGAGCCTGCAGCCCACATCCCCTTCCCACACCCCAACCTTCTGTCCCAGTCCTGATGAAAGTGAGTGAGCAAGCGAGGGGGAGCATGAGCGACGAAGGGGGGGATGGAGTGAGCAGGGGTGGGGCCTCAGAGAAGGGGTGGGGTGGGGCCTCGGGGAAGGGGCAGGGGCGGGGCAGGGAGCGGGGCAAAGGTGTTCAGTTTTGTGCGATTAGAAAGTTGGCAATCCTACTGAGAGCCCACACGCAGTGGGGGCTTTGCTGAGAGACTGGCAGGGGGAGCGGCCCAGCCCCACACACTGCAGCTTCGCTTCACCACCAACCCTGCACACCCATCCCCATCATCAGTCACTGGACTGCCCCACTCACTGCTGGTGGGCGGGCAGCTGGTGAGCAGGGATCCAGCCAGCAGCTGGACCCACCGGTACTCATGGCGGGGAGGCAGAAAATATGGGACAATTTGCCCACTTTTAAGAAAATGTTGGGACATCTGCAGGAGGGCTTAAAAATTGGACTGTCCCATTAAAAATGGGACATCTGGTCACCCTACCACTAACAGCTAAGAGAGATGAGGAACAGTTGGCAAGTTTTATCCACCACCAATCAAAGCTGAATTGTGACAAATACATTCTTTTAGCTATTGGTACTATTTCTACCACCAGCCTTCTTCCCAAAGGCCCAACCCTGAATCCTTGTGACTCCAAAACTGAAATCAGTGGCAGCTTGAACACTCAGGGACTGCCAGACTGAGCCTTGATGTTGCAGTTTCATGACTAGGTGTAAAATACTCATCAAAGTGGACTCTAACTACACCAGTTTGTATAATGTGGGTATGGGATCATACTGAATGAATATATTTAAAAGTTTTATATACCATTAGCAATTATCTGAGCCATATAGTCACTCGTGCATTTGGAAAGGTATTTTATTGTTTATTACAATTAAAGAGAATAAAACACCTTAACTGACATAATTTTATTTTAATTTTCAGGAAAGCAGAAGTAACAAGACAGTTAGTAGACAGACTCTTCTGTACTCTCCATGGCACTCATAAGAATTACAGCAGGTGTCTGTGATTCACATTTTCATCTTTTTTAAAGAACAGAGAGAAAAAACTTGGATCACAGCAGTGGAGAAGGTACTCACCTCGGCTGCCTCTCTTGTACATGTTTGGTTCTTTTGACTCCCCTATCCAGCTGAACTCTGTAGGCATAGAAACAGGCCTCAAGTCACCTGGAAACAATCAAAGAACCAATTTAATTTTTGCAACTCATTAATAAAGGGTTGTTGTATGGTAGAATAATTAATGCCTGTAAACTGGTTAGAAAAATCGCCCTCCAGTGTAATGCCTTTTATTAGCATCCATTTATTAAGGTTACAGCTCCCTGAAGCTTTTAAATATTAGGGGTCAGATTCTGCTTTTTGTTACGATGGTTTAAATGTAAACTCCACTGATTTCAGTGCAGTTATTCCTTATTGTAATTGAGATTAGAGTTTTGCTGCATAGCTATCTCCTGCAAGAGAGTTCCCAGCTCAGCAAGTCGATGATTTTGGATGGAAGAAAAACGCTTTCTGACATGGTTAACATGCTTTGATAAAATTAGAAATGTCACTGATTCACCCACAATAATTCAGAACTCTCAGTCTAAAAATAGTAACATCGGTCTTGTAACATATATCTGACTCTGAAAGTTACATGCTGGCTGATGTGGGCATCTTTTACCCACATAGAAAGTGGACTAACTGCAAACTCCATGAGGAAAACAAAGGACACCTTGTGAAAAACAGAGGTTCAGAAATGATGGTTTCCACTATTCTTACCTTTACTGTAATATCTACATTATAACCATGCTGAGTGAACCTGTAGGCCTCATTCTATACTATGGAACCAGTAGTAGTTATGGTAGCAAGGCCATTAAACTAGGAATACTGACTACAGGGGATAATCTTTTTTAACCTTGATTATCATCAGTGAACACACAGAACCACCCTCTAGATCATGAGTCAACTCCTGTCTGAAATATTCATCCAAAAAAAGCATTCCAAAAGCCAAGCTGAGTCTAGTTCTGTGGTCTGCTTGTTTCGGAATCAAGTTATTTTCTGAAACATTAAACATTGCCCAACAATCTTGTTCCTAAAATAATCACATATCTGAAAACACTATGCATAAAAGTTTCTTTTCTTGTTTCCAATAGCTCATTTCCTCAATTCTACTGTTCATTACTGAAAAAAAGCACTTATGATGCATAGCTACTGTACTGATGGATGAACGGACTTTGTTATTTACGGATATGTGAAACATCTTCACTGAGTGTTCTATCTTAACTAAGCTGGCACTAATTTATAATATTACTACATACATAGATTATTTTTATAATAAGATTTCTTTCATAATAATCCTGTCCTATAAATAATAAGATACTATTTACCTTGCTCCATTGTTCTAATGGCACTTTTCCTTAACCATCATATGTTAAAATGATGGTTAAGGAAAAGTGCCATTAGAACAATGAAGCAAGGTAAATAGTATCTTATTATAATTATATATATAATATATATATAATTATATATATATAATTATAATAAAAGGCATTTTTAGTATTTCTTATTTGGATTTTCCTTAACTTGGATTTTGCCTCTATTATATTTCTTTAAATACCTTTGGTTTCAGTTTTATGTATAATGCCTTTCAACATTTGTAAAGACTGGATTGGGCACTGCACCTTAGAAGAACTGAACAAGATTAAGAAGATTGTCCATCAAAATTAATTACAATGATACAGGTAGGCCAAACTTGACAGCAAGCTTTAGATTTTGTAGCAATAAACTTTTACAATACTCAGGATCAATAAAAATCCTTCTGTGAAGTTAAAAGAAATCATTCTAACTGCAAACATTTAAAAAAAAATCATTCTCTTCCAGGGTTTGCAACCCAAACACAGCAGCACTATGCTAAGTGCATAAGATCCCGAAAGTAAAATGGACTAGAAACTGATTAATAATAACTATGAATGCAGTGTCAAACTTGTGTGATAATGCTTTATATTAATTATTTCTTATCTAGTACCATATGTCACGGGTAGTCCTCCAGTGCAGGGGCGGTGAGTTATATGGGCCCGTGGTACCCAGGCTCCAGCAAATTCAGGGCCCGGTGGGGCACAGCTTCATCAATGTTCAGGGCTGTCTCTCTCCCCCGGGCCCACCTGCTGATCCCGCGCACTTCCCCCGACCAGCCCTGCCTGCCCTGGGCAGCAGGCAGCTGCCTCCTGCAGCTCCACGCTGCGCTCCCTCGCTGGCTGCTGCCAGTTACAACTTAGGGAGTGGCACCAGGAGCAGGCTGAGGCAGCTGCTACGCCTGCGGAGTGAGGATGGGAGGAGGTGCATGGCAGCCCTTCCCCCTCCCCCCCCCAGCAGGCAACACTGAGTCAACTCCGGGGGGTGGAAGGGGCTCATCCTGGCTGGACCTCCTGAGCAACAGCCTGGGGGGGGGGCTTGGGTGAGTGTCGTGCTGGACGGGCCCCCCTCTCTCCCCGAGCTCGTTGCTGCCAGCGGGGAGAGGGCTGAGGGGAGTCCTCCTCTCTGGACCCCCACCCCAGCCCCGGGGCAGCCTGCCTGCTGCACCCCAAACGCCTTATCCCCAGCCCAGCCCAGTGCAGAGCCCACATCCAGCACCCAAACAGCCTCCCAGAACCTACACCCAGCACCCAAACCCCCTCTCACACCCCTTCCTGCACCTCAACCCCCTGTCCCAGCCCAGAACCCGCACCCAGCACCCAAACTCCATCCCAGAGCCCGCACCCCTCCCACACCCAAACTTTGTCCCATAGCCTGAACCCCAAACCCTCTACCACACCCAAACTCCTTCCCAGAGCCTTAGGCAGGTGTGTGTGTGGGGGGCGGGGGGGCTGGGACTTGGACTTGTTCTGGGCACCACCAAAAATTATACAAACCTGCCATCCCTGCTCCAGGGGTAGATCTAACTTTCATAAACAGACTCACATGTACCTCACTTTTCAAGGGTTAAACAAAAGTTTTATTGATCCTTCCGTGAGATGGAAAAGGATGTGCACAAAACATTGCAAACACAAAGCCACAGTCAAAATTGCTGTTTTTCAGACCGAGTCTTCAGCATGCTCTCCTCACAGGTTTTGCCCCAATACATGGATCTTAGCATTCAGGTTCAGGCCACCTGAAGCTTCCAGTGTTTAAATTACCGACACTCAAACCCAGGAACTATTTTTAATGGCCCATCTCCTGTTCTGACTGGTCCCAGATTCTGCCTTTTTAACAACTTAATCCAATAAAAAATATTACCTCACCCACCTTGTCTCTCTAATATCCTGGGATCAACATGGCTACCACAACACTGCAAAAGTAAATCAGGACAATTATCCCCTGAGTTTTCTGCCTAATTGTTGTGAAGGCAATCCAACGGATTCCCAGGTGTCAGCACTCTCTGCTGCTCTGCTCAGCTGAAAGGAAGAATGCATGAAAGGAACTAGAATAAAAAAATGCTGCAGCATACACAAATATAATAGGGTGAGGGGAAGACAAAACAAGACAATCTTTTCATACTCTATTTGTATCACATTCAGTCCCTTAATCATTCCACAACACAAGAGTCTTATAAACTACAGAAACCTCCTGTAATGGATCCAACCCCACAAAGCACCAGATAACTCTCTCACAATGTGCATGTACTTTACAATACTGATAGAGACAGATTGTAATTTCTTAGGCGCAGGCAAGCTAAATTAAAATGAGGATCCCTATATATTCTCCCAATAACATAATTTCTTTCCTTTTTGTTTTTTTCTTTCCTCTCCACACTTATCATTTCTCATTGTATTATCTTTGCCACATGAGACTGTAAATATCGTAGGGCGGACCTTATTCTCTTTAATATCTATATAGCACCCATAAAAATATTCAAATAATAATGTTGATTTGTAGAACATAAAACCACAGATCTGCTCATTTCTACTTGTGTATAAACTTTGTCCGATATGGTCTCTCAGCTTTCACTAAATATAAGTTATTTAGACTTGGAGAGAATGCGAAAGAGGAAAGGACTATGACCTTCCAATTTATTGCTGAGCAAGCCCATGCTGAGATTTGGAGAGCATTAGTGCCAACCAGCACAGAGCAAACAGCATAAAAGACAGGAACTTGTGATGGGAGACAAAACACAGCCCAAACAAAACAAATTGCTGATTTTGCATACTAATTCTCATAATACAAAGCTCTGCTCCAAACACAAGCAAAAACTGTCAACGTGTACAAAAAAAAGTCATGCTGAAATGTTCTCTGAATACCAGGAGTCAATACTGGATTGATAGCAATCCTAGCTATGACTTTAAAAAGGCTTCACTTATTTATCTTATGTGTATCAGCCAACATTAGTATTAGACATTCACAAAGGAGCCAGGGCACTGCTCTGCAGTTAAAAATAAAATCAGACATTTCCTGATTTAGACAGGACACCAGGCTGCTGTATGAAGGATCTGATTGTTCCTTAGATAGCTTTTAAAATGGAACCGGACAATTCTTAGTTTAATTTTCTCTCCTCTTCCTTCCAAATACATACCTACTCCCTTTTAATGGACTTTAGGAGTCTCAGACATTTTGCATTTAACAGTTTCGCCAGGAGGAAGGAGTTGGATATAGATCTGTTCTGGTAAACAAGTCATGAGTAGGGTTCAGAGTCAGGAGTACAGAAATATTATGAAATTTGGAGTCAAAATGGAAGAAATTTCACCATGCCAACTGTTATCAGAAGATTTTTATCATCTTGAGCTAAAATTTTATGAGAAGGTTTGTTTATATGAGATTCTGGGGAAATGTTATGCAGAATTATTAGACAGATCCCTTCTGGTTTTGGATCTGAACTGGTACCAAAACTGTAGCGATGGTTTTGTATCAGGACTCTTGTCTGAAATTGTAAGGGGTTCAGATCTAGTGATTTTGGCTTATCCCTTATTTATAAAAGAACTGTAAAACTAAATTGTTACTTCAAGGATATACAATGTGGGTTTAAACAAAATGAAATTTAAATTTAAACTACAGATGGAAAAAGTGATACTTATCATTTTGTCAGATTACAGTTGTTTTGCACAACTCAAATAGAAAGATTTTTAAAATATTTAACTTTTATACTAGAATTCTCACGTCAGATAAAATGCATTGGGAAAAAATCTGTACTTAAAGATGATTAAAATTGTGAGACATACTCT